GCTAGCTACGCCGACACGGAGGATAGGCGTTCGGTGTCAGGGTTGGCGGCGACGGTCGGAGGTACCGTAGTCAGCCATGGTAGCAAGAAACAGAGCATCGTGTCTTTGTCTTTGACGGAAGCCGAGTACATTGCTGCCTGGGAGGGCGTCAAGGAGGCGTTGTTTGTGCGTGCTGTGCTTTCGTTTGTTGCCCCAAAGACCAGTGGTAGCAGCATCCAGACCCTCGAGGACAACCAAAGGGAGCCATAGCATTGGTGCAGAAACCCCTCACTCAGCTCAGGTCGCACGAAACACATCGACGTGCGGTTTCATTTCATCCGCGGATTGTTTAGGTCGGGGGATATTTCGGTCAAGTTTGTCCCGACAACGGAGCAACACGCGGACCTCCTCACCAAGGCCCTTAGCAGGGCCAGTCTGCAGTTTCGCCGGCGCAAGCTGATGAACAGTCTCACCCTATAAATACGTGGCGTAGGCCGCAAACAGGCGGCAGCACTTTTCTGGCGACCTCAAAGGCACCCCTCGACAGGGAAAGAATGACGCTCATGCACGCACCCGGCGTACATTTTGAAGATACAAAATGGATGTAGAGCTTCTTAACATGAGCACAATAACTGCAAATGCAACCCAAAGGAATGGAGAAGATAACAAACTTTACTCTTCCTTTGATAAAGAGCTAGAGAAGAGAAAACAAGCCTTCAGATGCGAGAAGAACGACCGCTGCAGCTACGCTGATCTACCCAGCCCTCTGCGTAGATCTGGTAGGTCTTCAGCAGCAGTCGGGTACCTCTACCAGTGATGTGAGGCATGTGGTCTGTGTCTTTGTTGTTGTTTCGCACATTAGCTCTTAGTCCACAAAAAATGGGGAGCCCGTGGTCTCAAAACCCGGCATTGTGTAGTCTAGTGTATCAATAACATCGGCCGCTCTAACCGGGTGACCAACGACAGACGTCAGTCTCAGTGCGGTTGATCTGGGACCCCGTGAAAGGGTGGAGGCTAAGCTATTCTGACTGAAGACAGAAACGGTAGCAACAGAGGAAGCACGTGTTTACCAAGCCTACTCTACTTGCACAGGCGTTCGTTTCGGAGTGTTTTCATCCTTGTCCTTGTGTTTACCAACACTACTAGTCTACTACTCTCGTCACTAAATATTTCACACTCAACTATCTTAGTTAGTTGGTAGTTGTTTACCAGACGACTATTTTTCCAGGAGCGTGCGCACCTGGTTGCCTGCAGACAACTACTCTTCCAGGAGCGTGCGCACCTAGTTGCCTGCAGACAACTACTCTTCTGGTGCTCACCTACAGTACAATGCCGGTCCGCACTTAGGAACCTCCTATATTGGGCGAGGCTCAGTTCTTATTGGCTGCCCCAACCCGAGCACCAGTTCTTACTTGCCAAGTCCTTATTTCGTCGTCCATTCTTCTCCAGAAAGGGGCGTTCTTGTTCTTACAGTATTTTAACATCATTTTCTATATTGTCGGCTGTCAACCATGAGCGACACCAGTACTGCTGTCGATACAAGAAAATACCAAGGCATTGAGCAGCAACTGTCAACCTTCTTGGTCCACAACGGTGACGTTGGTCCTGCGTACCCTTCCTGATCTACTAATGCTCTCAAGCAACACCCAGGAGCCTACAGCCGCATCCGAGTCTCCGCTGTACTTGTCTAAGGCTGCTGTTTGGCGAGGAGGCTCTTCTTTACGTCATCGGCTGCCGCCGTGACCAATTCCTTCTCGTTCTTGGCCCACTTCACTATATTGCTGTAGGGAATCTTGAGACGATCCTCCATGAACTGAAGAGGCGTGCGCTGCTCCTCCTTCCAGAGGTCTTCGGCGTTGTCCTGGAGGATGCGCAGCTGGTTGAACGCGTGGGCTTTGAACCTGAAGTCGTATCGCCTGCGCTTGGGAGCCTCACGAGTGTCCTTGGGTTTGCGGTCCATAAAGCCTTCGCTATCCAAGTCGAGATCGAGAAAGCGCTTCCGCTAGAGGACAAACGAAGCCGTCCCCGTCGCATGATCGAGCTTCACGTGCCAGCAACGCCCAGGCCCGGCTGCTTCCCACGGCAGGACACTCCCTCCGACATCCTTCCGTAACATGCGCCGCAGCCGCACGCCGTTGGACATGTTTGCACTGCTGTGCTGCGTTCTCACGTGGATCCCAAGGCCTTGCTCGTTGACGAAGGTCATGGGGCAGTGAGGGCAAGATCGGCGGGACTCTGGGGTCGGAGGTGGGAAGCTTATACCGGATATGAGCTCTTTCATTCCACCGCGAGTCCGCTCAATCTGCATGGCAAGGTGGAAGCAGGGCGGAGTTGCCGGGGGGGTGATTCAACGAGTAACGTCATGTATCGTTCGCTATGGAGTGTGGCGCTTTCGACCTCAAACCTCCGTGGAGAGCCGAAAGCTGTCTGTTTCGTTCGTGACTATTCAAACTAAGTATCAAGCAGAGAACGTGCACCGTTGTGACGCCAAAGTAAAGTTGCCGGCACCCAAACTAGATTATCTGTCTACACTATTTTCTTTTAATGTTCTGATCTTGAAAAAATGGGGGATGGACGAAAATTTTATCTCATCATGTCTACACAGCAGCAGCATTCCACGAATCTGAAAAAGGCACAACTTTCCGGAGTATTTGTACCGGAGTTGGCTCTTGCCAGCAGACGCAGTTGACGAGAACTCGACACTCCCCCACTTGCTTGGGTACCTTCAGCAAGAAACGACGTGTGAAACGCAGTCGTTGCCAGCAGAGGCCAGCCCCAAAACTACGAACTTTCTCCTCTTTTTTATTATTACGCGCCGCTACTGAAAAAGAATGGCCCTCATCATGCCAATCGTTTTCACGGGAGTTTTTCTTGAAAAACGAAAATATGTTTAGTGTATGTAGACTACACCGGTAGCGAAAAGAAACTGTGTGCTCACCGGTTCTCGGCTGCCAATCGCGAACGCGTTGCAGATGTTGCCGCCTAAAGTGCCTTTGGCAGCTCTCTTCTTAGCTTACTTCCCGCGATCCACGGCCTTTCTCCTCGCGGTACCTGCAGCAGCAGGTGGGTGCTGAGACGGCGGTGCAGCACCTCGCGCGCTGCCGGCATCTTGTTGGGATGAAGAGGACAGGCGGGTGCTGCTGGTAATACCCTGCGTTTCGCCGTCAATCTGCGTGACCTACTCTTCTTCGTCGAAGACACCGTTCTGCTTCAGCCCCCACGCGCTCTCGATGGCGTCCCATCGCTCCTTCGCAACGGGGTTGCCCGCCTTCACGTGTGCTTTGATTGTCTCGAAGTGACGGTCAAGAATCCGACCCCTTTGTTTCAACTCTCTGCAAATTTGCCAAGCTCTTAAATATCCCATGGGGTAAGGGATTGCACTAGGACATGATCCCCCTGCACCGCAGGCAGCTCGTCGCACGCTGCACGTTGCGTGGCACGCACGCTTTTCTCGGGGGCACCCAGGGGCACGACGCGTGCGTACAATGCCCACCCTCCCCCCCCAAAAAAATACAAATATTGATATGTGGGTATGTACCCCTCCCAAATCCAATACTCTCTACTCTGGGATCACTCCCCCCTCTTCCCTCCCTCCCCCTGCGACTATTCTTATCTGGCAGCCGCTGCATTACTGTCGTTCTTATTTGTAGCAGCAGTTTTGCACCTCAGGTGTGTGTTCTTGTTCCTAACAGGGCGTGCAGCCAGCCGAGCACGTGTTCTCATTAGGGCCGTTTTATACGTTCCAATTTTTTTGTTCCAAAGTACAATTTTTCCGAAATTCCGGAACTTGTACAGAGGCGTTTGTTAAAAAAATTTGGAACGAACCTGAACGCCAAAATTTGTACCACTCAGTAGCTTCCAAATAATCCAAATATATTGGAGCATCACAACAAACCCAGCAGCTAAAGGACCTACAGGGCCAACTACAAGGGAGAAGCAGCAGCGGAGGGTACTTGGATAGCGTCAGGGCCATGGCGGACCGCAGGAAACGCGGCGCGCCTCTTGGTTCGTCGTGTGCTGGCCCACCGAGCCAACGATTCAGGCGTGCATCCGGTCGCCAAGAGCTGGTGCGGCAGATGAAAGCAGCTGCTGCTGCGGTGATTCTGATGCTGAGCGCGGCGGCAGTGGTCACCCCTGTAGCTGTGCACGCTAGCGCTAACAAGACGCGTGCGGCTATCCACGAGCCACGGCGCCTGGTTTGGGAGGACCACGCTGCTGACCTCAAGAAGCGGAAGCTCTTCCCGAGGATGTATCGCATGGAGGAACCGGTGTTCAACAAACTGGCTGGGTTGCTGGAACCGATCCTCCAACGGAACGACTACTACGCAAGTGAGAATAGAGAGAGGGCGGGAGGGAGAGATGGGGGGGCGGGGGGGCAGGGAGAGAGATGTTCGTACGTACAAGTAGATAGTCGAAAAGTAGCCGTTACGTAGGACGCAGCTGGGNACCACGCTGCTGACCTCAAGAAGCGGAAGCTCTTCCCGAGGATGTATCGCATGGAGGAACCGGTGTTCAACAAACTGGCTGGGTTGCTGGAACCGATCCTCCAACGGAACGACTACTACGCAAGTGAGAATAGAGAGAGGGCGGGAG